GAAGAAAGAACTGGGGTCTCCACATCCCTCTGGGCAGCTTCACAGGCCCGGCCCCCCACCTCCTGTGAGCACCTGTTTGGATAAGAACACACCGTCTGTCTCACACACACAGTTGTGAGAATAAGTAGTCATTTTTCAGGACTGGTGCAGCTACCCTTTCATGAAAGAAACATGCTGGCAGTGATGCAGCAACGTCCACTTTATAGAAAAGGACCCTTTCTAATGCCAAGCTTCTTGAGCCCCTTGGAGCTGCAGCACCTCCGAACAGTTTCAGAAGAGGGTCTTGGCTTTTATATCACTAAAAGAATCCATAAGGTAATTCTCTTCTCTGGTCACAGGGCTGGATTGCATTTCCTGGGCCCTCCTGGTTGGATGAGGCCATGTGAGGCCATTCCGGCCGATGAGTTGTCAGCCTGAGGGAAGGGGATCAATTCTGGGCTGAGACAGTTAATTGCTGGGTGAGACTCTCCCAGTTCTGCTTCTCCTGACTCTGCTGCTGTGGAAGCCTGTGTTGAGATAAAGCTTTGTCAGTCCTTGAGAGCCCCCCACCCACCCACGTTGTACATTTAATGGGAAATTTGGGAATTTGGGGGGGTTCTGTTACCTCCCATCACCTAACCTAGCTTGACTGATACACCACACCACACCACTCCCATTACCACCCTTCAGCAACCTCTGCAGGAGGAATTTAATCCAAGCTCAGAGCCCCATTACGGAAGTCCAGCTCTAAGGGGACGATCATGGGAAATCTCTTTCTGTCGCTTACATGTAGCCTCAGAGGTCATGGCCTTTTCCCTTTAATTTTGATAATAATAGTAACAGCTGCTATTTATTAATTATTTACTGTGTGCCAGGCATAGGGCTTGGCTTTTTACATATAGTATTTCATACACTGTTCTGGGTAACATGAAGACTGCACTCACCAACGTTGTCAATGACCTAATTGCTAACAGCCTGAGGGATGTTCAGTGGTCCTCCCTGATACCTCTGTGGCCTGTCTTCCCAGTGACCCCAACTTCTTTTTCCTCCTTCTTTTCCGTTCAATGTGCTGGGTGCTGTGCCTGGTGCTGGAGACAGAGTGGTGAATAAGACCAATCCAGCCCTGCCCTCGTGGAGCTTAAAGTCTAGTTGGGGAGACTGATGAGTCAGCAGATGATTACCACTTGGTGTGATAAGAGCTAAAATAGTGCTAGATCAGGAGGCCTAAGGAACTTTTGGAGGGAGCCCGTAACCCAGCCTGGGGGGGTCAGAGGCCTGAAGAATGGGGAGGTGAAAGTGAGAAGAAAGAATGATCCATGGGTAAGAGACAGCATTTGCAACAGCGGGGAGATTGGAGGCTGGTTCAAGGCAGTAGATAAGTATGGCTAGGAGCTGAGCAGGGAATGTGCAGAGATGAGGCTGGAGAGTTAAGCCAAATCAGATCATGTGAGAGAAAGGCTCCAGTAAGAAGTGGAGAGCCATCAAAAGGCTGTGAGCAAGAGAAGTAACACCTTCAGATCTGCAGTTGAAAATGATCCCTGAACCTCTTTCCTCATCTATAAAATGGGGACAATAGTAGCACAGTAGAGCTGTCTGGAGAATTAAATGAGATGATGCATGCAAACAGTGCCTGGCACATAGGTTATTATTCATTCAGCTAAGAGAGTCCCATTGTGAAGCCTTGCACATAGCTCTGCATTGGCTGTAATCGCATTCTGTTATAACTATTATTTACTTATGCAGCTCTCTCTCAAACTGAGAAATGAAATAATCAAGGGAAAAGACCATGTCCCAATCCTGTCTATGTTTCCCGTTCCCAGCATGTAAGCCTAGCACCTATTAGGCACTTGGTGAGTGCCAGACAAGGACTGAAGGGTGAAAAACACCTCAAAGGGGCAAGCGGGAGGGGTGGGGGGAACAGGACTTACGGCGTTTGACCACAAGAGGGCGCGCTATGTTCCCACGAGAGAGCCGGGCTGCTGGGCAAGGGTGTGCTCTCGGCCTCCAGCACAAATCACCTTAAAGGACCTTTCTCTAAGGAAGCCCAGTGCGGAAAAGGTTGCTTTCTCAGGTCAAATGAGTAGGGAGTAATAAAATAAAAGTGTTTTGAAAGGTTTATTGTAGCCGCCGCTAGGCGTTAGTTAGGGGGTTGGGTGTTTTTTAACTGGCAAAGCAAAATGCCGCCTTTTCCTGAGCGTTTGGATATTTGTGGAAGTGGGTGGGTTGCACATCTATATGAGGGATTAGCGTGGGCTTGCATCCCGAACCCGAAGTTAGCAAACATTCACAGTCTGAGTCGCTCATCAGGACTGGAAACCCACCAGACCCCCTGAGGGAAAGCGGGTGTGTGGAATTCAGGACAGGTGAATCAGACCCCTTTGGGAGGAAAGGAGTGCGTTGAAAGCTACCCGGACAATCTCAGGGAAGGCAAGTGAAGGAGATTCAGGGAGGGAGCGGGGAAAGGAAGGAGTGTAAGAGGAAAGGGAATAACGGGCCTCTGGGGAGGGAGGGGTTAACCCGGGCTAGGCGCGGAGGAGGAAAGCGCTTGGTGACGCCCGGGAGGCGGGCTCTCGGCGCGGCCTCTGGAAAACACCCGGCCGCTCCGGGTAAACAACGTGTTAAGGGGGTGGACCCAGGGGCAGCCACGTGCCGGGGCGAGAGGCTACTGGCTCTCCCGGAGTTGTTTGTGAGCCGCCATTGGCAACGTCGGGGCGCCGCGACGAGCCGATTGGCCGGGATTCGGAGCCCCGCCAGGGCCAGGGTGGGGTGTAGGCGGCTGCTGCGGCGCTGGGCCCACCCGGGCCGAACGGAGCGCCAGCGCTACCCGCGCGGGGACCGGAGCCCGAGCCCGAGCCCGAGGCGCGGCCGCCGCCGCCGCCGCCGCCGCCATGCGCTGGGTCCGCGCGCTGCTGAAGAATGCTTCCCTGGCAGGGGCGCCCAAGTACATCGAGCACTTCAGCAAGTTCTCCCCGTCCCCGCTCTCCATCAAGCAGTTTCTGGACTTCGGTACAAGTGGGCGGGAGGCGGCTGGCAGCGAGGGCCCGCGGGGGGGGGGAGGGGGAGTGAAGGAGGCCTGGCCACGAAGGATTAACGAGGAGGGTAAGGGAGGCCGAGTGACAGGGAAGGTTTGCTTGCAGGGATCCAGACAGGAAAGGGTTAACGGGGAGGAAGGGGCCGGCCGCCGGGCTTGAAAGGGTTAAGGGCACCCGTGACTGAAGAGACTGAACTGGCAGCCGGAAGGGGGGGCACTGAGAAGGAAGGGTCCAAGATGTCTTCCCGGGCTTTGTGAGGGGTCTTGGAGAGGAAGGGGCAGTGAGGCGGTGATGTTGGAGCAGGAGGGTGTAACCAGGCACTAAAGGGTTACTGGGGGTTGTCCTGGCGACTCTAAAAGTGAAGGTCAGAGAGGAAATGAGGGGGATGCTGGTGGGGGTAACAAGGCAGCACTGGGAGGTGCAGCCATCTGGAAGGAGACCTGCGCAGGGGTGGGCGCGGAGGGGTCGTTTGGGGGAGGGGGCTCTTTCAGATGAGTCAACAGGAGTGAGGCCCTGGCCGGTACACCTCCGCCCACCGAAGGAGCTGCCTCCCAGCTGTCCTAGAGGGCAAGGACACTTGCAGATCAAATCTGCTGTGGCCTGGCCGCCTTACCGCGGCTGGGCAGGGGCCCGGGGCACCATGAGATGGAGTCAGGTAGCTTGTACTCATCCTTGGCTGCCCCCTGGGTTCCTGGGCCAGGGTCGCCTACCATCAGTGTTCTGGAGGTGGCAAGGCTGTGCCAACGTGGGGACTGAAACAGGCATTGTGTGGACCCTGTCTGTTCACACGGAATTTCCATGGTGCCAGCTGGAGATTAGGAGGGGTTGCCCAGGTCTCTCAAGAGTTGAGGAGACAGAGCCTGGCTTAGGTTACAGCTGTGTCACTGGTGGGACGGGGCGGGGAGGTGGCAGCCAGGACACAGGGCACCTGTTCCCCAAGACTTGTCTGCCTACCCCCCTCCCTGTTTGAGCTCCCCCCATGTAGGAAAGCCTCCTGAGCCCACTCCCGGCCCCCAGCATCTGTCCAGTCCAGACTGGACCCCAGTTAACAGAACTGTCACAGCAGGGAGGGGCTCACGGTAGAGTTTGGTCCCCCACTTGGAGTTCAGTGAGGGAAACAGACCTTCAGAAGGATGGTGACATGCACTGGATGACAGTTAAAAGCAGAACCTGGACTTAGAACCCAGGTCTCCTGACTCTAGGCCATGGCCTCATTCAGTCCTCTACTCCCTCTTCATTTTCAAGCCAGACCAAGGATCAAAGTATTTGGGCCCCAGTTCTCAGGCCCTGTCTACCTCACAGGTGGGCGGGCATTAACATAGGGCAGCTCTACAATGGGCATAAAGACCAGCTGGGCCAGAGATGACGCCGGGACCCTGCAGCTGCGGTGGTCCGAGCATAGCTCCCCTCAGCCAGGGGGAGCTCATCCCAAGGTAGGGGTGGATTTCCCAGGCCCTTCTGCCCACCTGGATCAACCCCCTGCAAAGTGAGTATCTACTAGGAGGGAAAGAAAGAGAAGTGAGATAACTTGGGCTGGAGGCAGCTCCCAGTGGGCCCAGGATGGCCCTTTTCCCTGTGGTTGAAGGCAAGCAGGGTTCAGCTGGGGGTGGGGAGAGGATGCAACCTCTCTGAGGGTTAGGCTGGGTGGTGTGGTGGTCAGTGCAGGGGGGGGTCAGGAAAGGCTCCTTGTCCCATGCCTCCATCTCTTCTCTTCTGAACCCTCAGGAAATAAAGGATTTAGTGACCTGACCCCGCCCCCCGCCCAAGACGTCCTCTGGCTCCAGTGCTTTGTAACTCTGTGAGCTCACCCTTCCCTCTCCCACCAGGGTCCAGCAATGCCTGTGAGAAAACCTCATTCACCTTCCTCAGGCAGGAGTTGCCTGTGCGCCTGGCCAACATCATGAAAGAGATCAACCTGCTTCCCGACCGGGTGCTGAGCACACCCTCGGTGCAGCTGGTACAGAGCTGGTGAGACCCCTGAATAGGTCCCCGCACCTCCCACCCCATTGTCAGATGCCCCCTGCTCCCAGGAACCTTGAGGGAGGCGGGGAAAGAGGAAAGGCACAGGGACTCCGAGAGGTAGGGGAGTTCCTACGGTCAAGTGGGAATGTTAGGCCAGAGCAGGGACTCAGATCAAGCTCATAGCCTCCACGTCTATGGGACAGCCCTATACTCACCACCCTCCATTCTCTGGAAACACAGGATCCGCCTAGGAAATCATCATTTTCACGGCCAAAAACCCAAACCAGGCTAATGTCTGCATTTGCCACCAGCCCTGGTCCTGAAAATCTAGCACCTGTTGGATGGTATTTACCTGAGGCAACTTTGTGGGAAGCAGAAACCAGAAGACGCTAATCTTCAAATTATATAATCCAAACAAGTCAGCGTGTTTTGGATGTTGGAAAACACTTCAGTAGATGCAAGGATGGCACAGTACCAACTCCAAAGAGCTTTGGGTGGGCAAAGACCAAAGGTTTATTGCACAGAGCAGCAGTAGCAGAGAGAAATCCTCAGTAAAGTTTACTCAAAAACTCTGTCCAGGGATAAGTAACTGAATGACATTAGCCAGAGGCCAGTCACATGAAGACGGAACAAGAATTTGCTGTGTAACTGGGTGTGTAAATGTGTAATCATGGTTCATCTTCAGTGGCATGTGTGCAGAAATCTTTTGCCCTTGCTTCTGGCTGTGGCAGGTGTGGTGTGACTGTGGTTTCCTTTTGGATTCGCGACATCCACACCTGCTTCGAGCCCAGTGCCGTGTTAGGTTAAACAGGCAGGAGCTGCCCTCAGGGAGCCTGTGATCTCACGGCGGGAGCAGAAGAGGGCAGACTAAGAGCTGCATAGTGGCAGGAGCAGTAAAGCTGCTGAAAAGTTAGCTTTATTTAAATTAAAAGCAAAGTATTATTTGAAAATAACATTGATTGGGTTTTTTCCCCTCGTTGCGAAAGTACGACATGTTCACGTTGACATTCGGAGAACACAGAAAAGTAGATAAAAGGGAACGCCAACCACTATCCTCCACCCCTTAACCAAACGCTGTTAAGGTTTTGTAAGTGCCCTTTATTGATGCCCTTCCAGCTTTTTTCTATGCATGAATATTGCATATGCATGACTTACTCTAATTAAATGAGGATAAGGTAAGGAAGGACCAGGTACATGATGTGTGCACAATGAATTTCAGTTGAATCAGAAAGCTGTGGGGAAGTTGAAATGGACGCAGAGAGGAGGTGACATGTCACTGGGCCTTACAGGGTGCCTAACTGAACCCTGACCTAGAAGGGAGGGAAGGGCATTCCAGGCCAAAGGAACTGCTTGTGCAAAGGTGCAGAGGCCAGAGAGGGCCCGGCTGGGGCATCTGAGCACTCACTTTGTGGATATAGTGCTGTTAGTGCAAGCGGTGAAGGTGGACGGGGGGACAGAGGGCAGAGCCTGATTTGCATGTAGCCCAACAAGGTCACCCCTCGCTGGGCCCTGTCCCTTAGAGATCCAAGACCTCTGAGCCAACTGGCATTTCTTGCCATCGGGCAGTGTGGAAGGCATGGGGAGGGACAGAAGGTGTCATCTGTTCTCCCCAGCCCTCCTCCAGCTGAGTGACCTGGCTGCCTCTCCAGCTGGTCCCTGACTCCAGGTCAAGGCTTCTCAGGCCCCTCCCTGGACATCGTGTTCCTAGAAGAGTCAGGGGATGTGGGGAGGGAGGGCAGGGAGCTGCTGAACTGCCCGTGATGCCCCCGAGGCCCACAGAGTCCCTTCCTGAAACTCAGTTACACGTGTGGGGGGCTTGGCCTGACGTTATTCTTCCCTCAGAGCTGGGAAGTAATGTCCAGCAGCAGCAGGAGGGAGTGAAGTTAGACAAAAGGGAAGACTTCCCAGTGCATGACTCGCTTAGAGGGGAGCAGGCCAAGGTATTGCTAGAGTGTGCTGACATGCTGAAGAGATGGCCTGCTGAGATTGTTTCCAGAGAATGGGCATCCGCTGCAGCCAGAGAGACTGTGGTCTGAGGGAAGGAAGGACTCTCTGAGGCGGCTGCCTGTGAGAGAGGGCAGACCTCCAACTCCCTTGCCAGCTTGGATGATGGAGGCGGTGGAGGTGGGTAGAGTTTGCAGGAGAGGAGGGGGACGACCTATCAGAGAGCCTGGCAAGAGGCCCACTAGCCTCAGAGTCTGATGAGTGAGGAGCAAAACGTCCCCTTTGGAAATGGACAAGCCCTGAGCACCTGCTCTCAGGAGGAGCAGAGGTGATAGTTAATCTGTGGCAACAGCTAACGGAGTTTCTATTCAGCTGGGGAAAGGCTCCAGGCAGGAATCACTGTGGGCAAGTGGAGAATTCCTGACTCTAAACAAACCTGATGTATTTTTTCAACTGGACAGACTTGGTGTTGTGAGAACTTGTTTTGGAAGTAACTGGAAGGTAGAGGAAAGCCCTGGGTGGGGCGCCGGCATGCCTGACTCTGAGACTTGGCTTTGCTGCTTGCTAGACACTTAATGTTTGGTCAGCCACATGGCCCCTAGGGCTGAGCCTCGGCTTCCTCATCTGTAAAATGGGGATCCGTTCTGTTTCTAAGGGTCAGATGCCACTGCTGGATGTGAAAGTACACGGAACCCTCTAAGCGTGAGCGATGTCTGCGAGCTTCTGGCAACAGCACCTCCGGGACAAAGATGATGTGCTGTGGCAGAGGTTCTCTTCACAGTGTAGTAATAATAATGATGACGATGACAGAAGCAGACATGCCTGGAGCTGTTCTAAGCGTGTCCACGTATTAACTCCTTTAACTTCACAGCAACCTGATGAAGGAGGCCTTGTTCTTATCCCCATTTTGTAGATGAGGAAACTGAGGTTCAGAGAGAGTAAGAAACTTGTCTGAGCTCATTCAGGTAGCAAGTGGTAGAGCCAGGATTCCAGCCCAGGCTGTGTGATCTGGAGGCTGTGTTCTTGAAGGGAAAGAAGAGAACCGCATTCTGGGACAGCGACCAGGAGTCAGAGATTTCTAAGCTCACAGAGCAAGTCAGTGGGAAAGTAGATTTTCTTTACAGAGATGGTTTGATGGCTAGTATTGTGGGGGCACAGAGGGGTAACCTTGCCTCCTCTCAGGAGAGAAAGACAGCCTGAGGAAGGGCGTGGAGTCGGTGGGGATGTACTTTGAGAAAATGGAGGGTTGAGTGATTATTGCAGAGTAGAATCAAATGACAGCGAGTCACTCCTGTCACCAGTAGAGCCTTTGCAGAGCTGTAGGGAAGGGGGTGGCAGGGGATATCACCAGCACCTTCTATGAACTTCCCTTGCGTCAGCAAGGTATGTAGACCCCAAACCCAGTCCTTGCCCTTGAAAAGAATGACCACCTCACAGGTTCTGGGCGCCCAGGGCCAAACCCTGCCATTGAATCCCTCAGCCACCACTTACGTAATCAGAGTGGAGACCGGGCACCAGCATCATCTCCTCTAATCCGCGCCTGCTGCTACGAAGCCCACTTCACACACGGGAACCTGAGTGGCACCGCCAGCAATGGGACCCAGGTCGGCCTGGCTCAGGGCCGTGCCCATCACCCCTCCACAAGCAGCTTCCAGATAGATGGAGGACACGTCTGCCCCCTCTCCCCTCCTCACAGGGCCTTTGCCTTGTTCACACCCCTGGTCCCCAGCGGCTGTGGACACTAGTACGTCGTGCACACACACACAACCGCAGGCGCCCAGACTCACACACGCTTACCACTCCTCTGCCCCCACGCAAGGCTGCACACGCCTCGTCCCCAGCTGCCGGGCACTCATTCTGACACCCACGCGCGCGCGCGCACACACACACACACACACACACACACACACACACACACACACACTCATTCTGACACCCACGCGCGCGCGCACACACACACACACACACACACACACACACACAGAAATTCAATCTTTCATGCCAATTGTCTATTTGTACCACACCAATATGCATAAATGCATGAAAGTAATTTTTACTCTTTTCTCAGAAGAAGTATATATTTTTAAAAACATTACAAATTATCTTACAATAATAGAGAATTATCCCAATATAATTAGAATCTTCAGTAATTTCCTGTTCTGAGTTTGGTGGTGTTAACACTCATAACACTAGTTGGTGCTAGATAAGCGGAATATCAATGCTGTGTAAGTCCAGAAATAAAATGCATTTATAAAACAGGAGGGCACTAATCCTAAAGCAAACTGATCAAGCGCACGTGCATGCACGCACACACACACACACACACACACACACACACACGCTGTCTTGCTCCCTCCTCTCTCCGTTTTCCACTCCTCCCAGCTCCTAAATCCAGGGCTCTGGAATGGCTAGAAAGCCCCAGAGGGCAGGGTTTGGGTCTTCCACATTACCTCGGTGGAGGGGAGGGGAAGGAAGCTCTAGATCTCACCCAGGAAGTCCTGGGCGGCCTTGCTTGCTGTTGAGGTCGGCAGGCCAGGCCTTCCCTAGGGCGTCACATTGGCCCGCTGCCTGCTCTGCCAGGCCCAGGGCAGGTTGCGCATCTGTCATTGCACCACTGGTCCAGACCGCCTGTGTCTAAGCCCAGCTCTTTCTCTGGCCCTCGGGGGTGGGCAGCCGAGGAGCCAGCGTCACTCCTTCTCCAGCGTCTTTCCCTTTTTAGGACCAAGATCTGGCCCAGGGGTGAGGTCTGGTCTGCCAGGCCCTTGGGGGGCTTCAGGCCAGAGTCAAGGTTCCCCTGGGAGAATCTTTGTCATCCTCTCTTCCTTCCAAGAGCACACACTCAGGACCACTCCCCTGAAGGAATGGCCCTGCGAGGGAGGCAGGCAGGGATCCTAAGCCCTGCTTCCCGGTCAGGAGACTGAGGCCTGAGGCTGCAGCTCTCCCCAGAGCCCTGCCCGCGGGCGCTGCTCATTGCCAGTCCATCCTGGTGCCCTTTGTTTTACTTCACTGGCCACGTGACAGCGCCCTCTAAGGTTCATTAGGCAGCCACAGAGGGGTGGGGCCAGCAGCGAGAGCTCTCATCCTACCCTCATCCCCGCTCCTGGCCAAGCTGGTCAGGGGCCCCTAGCTCTCTCTGCTTGCCCCCAGGGTCTTGGGAAGGGGTTCCAGGGCCCCCCCTCAGCTGGTCTCCTCTCTCTGCCTGTCCCCACCATTGCATGCTTGCAGGTTCTCCCAAATCCCCTCTCCCTCTAAGAATCACATGAGCATGAAGCTTTCTTCTGGGTGTGGTCAAGGAATGAGGGATTTGGAGTAGCACAGGCCTGCGAGAGAGGATCCCAGCTCTGCATGTTAACTTCCTCATCTGTAAAATGGGTCTAGCGGTAGCACCCCCACACACACAGGGTCACTGGGGAGGTTAAAGTGGGGGGACACAGAGCAGAGCCCTGGCACAAGGCCGGCGCCAGTAAATGCTGGGCCGCCTTCACCATCAGCATCGCTGTTAGGACCGGTGTAGACAGTGAGCACTTGGCCGTGTGGTGTAGACTTGGCATCAGACAGACCTGGGTTGGAATCCCAGTGCGAATGCTTACTGTGTGGCCTGGGGCATGTTACCTGCCCTCTCTGAGCTGGTTTCCTTGTCTGCAAAAGGGGGGAAATACCACATGCTCATGAAGGCTGCTGGGAGATAAGAGACCCTGTGTAGACTCTGAGCTCTAACGGTCACTGGGTAAGTGTCATCTGTTCTTATTCTCCAGGGAGCCCGAGGTGAGGCCGAAGGAGGGCCGCTCTGACTGTGTGCCGGGGCTGCGGGGGTACTGACGGGGAGCTGATCTCCTCTGCTCTGTCGGCTCCCCCTACCAGTGACTACGCCACCTTTTGCCAGGCGGCGTGCCGGGCCCTGGGTGGGGAGGGCAGGCAGGTGCAGCGGGGTGGGCACGGCCCCATTCCTGCCGTCAGTGGCCATCCAGAGCATGACAGATTCAAACACGGTGTGATTCAGAGTCTTTGCCCAGTACAACCAGGAGAAGTGTGTCGTGTGTCACCCGGGGACTCAGAGGGTGCACTCTGCTGTTTTCAGTGTCTGCACCACTGTTCGAAACAAGAGCAAACATTTAGAGAGTGCTCACTGTTTGCTAGGCACTGTGTTAATTATCACATTTAATTCTCACCAAAAAGCAGTGACCGCAGTAGGTACAAAACCCTTCCTTTTCTGATGAGGAAACTCAGGCCCAGAGAGGTTCCATGACTTACCCAGAGCCACGCAGCTCAAAGTGGAAAAACCCAGCCTGGAACTCGGCAGAGCCAGCTTCAAAACTAGATCTTTTACCCTCTTCTCTACTGGTTTAAGCAACAGAGGGAAAAGTAGCAGCTAGTGGGTGGAGGGGCCAGGGCATTCCAGGCAGAGGGAACCGCAGGCCCCATGGGCTGAGCATTTTGAGCAGCCAGCACTGTATAGTGGCAGGTGCGCTGGAGGCCGGTCTTCAGTATACGACCTCCCAGCTGTGGGACTGTTCCAGGCCTCAGTTGAGGAGACTGTGAAATGGGGCTAATTACTGCCATTCTTACCTGTCAGGGTCAAAGCACTGTGTACTTGGGAATGCTTCCGACTGTGGTGGGGGCCTCTTCTAGAGACACTGTTAGGCCCGGGGGCCCTCCCCCCACCCCCCGTCAGAGCTCTCGGTGGCCCCTCCTTCCTGCTGGCTGGAAGTGTTTCTGCCGGAGAGAGGCTCAGCTCTCTGCCTTCCCCAGGAGAATGGGCTGTTGCGGGCTGAGGTGTTAGCAGGGAATCAGTGGCATCTCCCTCGCAGTAGGGGCGGGGGGACAGTGGCTCCAGGTTGGCACCATCTGGGCAGCCCGGCTCACTTCAGGCTCTCCATGGGCTCCAGCCCTACCCAGTGTCAGAGCTGGGCATGCCCACCCCACCCCGAGTCCTTCCCACCCACCATTTAAAATCCAGTTCCCTAGGAGACTGCACAGCTCCTGGTGCCTGGAGTCGGGAGTATGAGGCTGTCGTCTTCCTCCCTGAACCCCTGCTCTGTGAGAGCTCTGGGCTGGCCACTCTGCCACCTGTGCCCATGGGATGCAGCAACAACCCTGCGGGACAAACACTAAGATCTGCTTCCACGACGGGCCCTGGGGAGCTAAGTGCCTTGCCCCAGCCTGCTCTCACTGCTGGTCTCAGGCAAGGCCCCCTCTCCGGTCTGGGCCTCAGTCTCCTAATCCGGGAGACCTGTGGGTGGGGTGGTCACCAAATCCCCTTTGAGGACTGCTATTCTGGGATATCAAGCAGAGGCGCTCTAGGTACCAACAAATTAGAGACTTTCATGCATAACTCGTGGTGTCGTTGGGGAGACTCACGTATGGAGGGAGCAGAGTGAGAGAACTTTTGACGCAGCTTATGAACCCACGTGGCCCAGCTCTGGGCGGCGCCCACTGGAGGCGCAGGACGGACGCAGGGTCAGCAGAGTCGGGTGTGCCGGGGCCCGGCCTGGGGCTGAGGCTTCCCCCACCCGCCTCCCGCACACAGGTATGTCCAGAGTCTCCTGGACATCATGGAGTTCCTGGACAAGGACCCTGAGGACCATCGGACCCTGAGCCAGTGAGTGAGGCCTTGGCTGGGGGCGGGAGGGCAGGTGTGGGCCACGGCCCCAGGGGCAGAAATGCCAGCAGGATGAAGGAAATGCCCCCACCCTCAGGGGTGTCCAGTCTGAGGGGGCAGACAGCCCCCGATCCTAGGTGTGCCCTGAGTCTGACGGGGGGACCCAGGCCCCGCCACTGTGGAGCTCCCAGGCCGTCAGGCAGGCGGTGGGAGATTCGGGGTGGGCTTCCCGGAGGAGTGGGCTGGGGAGAGTCGAGTGCGTGAAGGCACCGTGCAGAGAAGCGGGGAGAGTCTGAGGGTGTCCCAGTGCTGGGGCAGGGTGAGGGCCGACATCTACTGCCATCGCAGGTTCACCGACGCCCTGGTCACCATCCGGAACCGCCACAATGACGTGGTGCCCACCATGGCGCAGGGCGTGCTGGAGTACAAGGACGCCTACGGCGACGACCCCGTCTCCAACCAGAACATCCAGTATTTCCTGGATCGCTTCTACCTCAGCCGCATCTCCATCCGCATGCTCATCAACCAGCACAGTGAGCGGCCGCGGGGCCACTCGCTGTTCACATGTTCACAGAATGCCAAACCGTGTCGCCCCTTTACGTGGCATTCGTTAAAGTCTCGTTACGTTAGGACACAGGTTGTTGTCTAGTGTTCCTTACTCCAGGAGTATTAACTATGACTGTTGAGAAATCGTAGCCAGTCATCAATTACACAAGAAGGGAAAAATTATTTTTAAATGTATAGCAACAGAGAAGACTTAATATAATGTAGAATGTACGGGGATGAAACTTCTGAGAAGAATGCTTCAGGCCTACAAAGGTCCAGGACTGGCCTGAGCCAGGGCTGGAGGGGCCAGGGGTCAGGGGTCAGGGGAGAGAGGGTGGGGGGGTGCAGCATCAGGGTCAGAAGTGTCAGAAGTAGAGGTGGAGCACTGGAGAACGGGGGATGGGGAGGGAGCGCTGGGGTTGTGTGGCCCCGCTAACCGCGCCCGCCCTCCCCACCCGCAGCCTTGATCTTTGACGGCAGCACCAACCCAGCCCACCCCAAACACATCGGCAGCATCGACCCCAACTGCAGCGTCTCTGAGGTGGTGAAAGGTGAGCTGTCCCCACCGTGCCTGGCCCACAGAGGAGCCCCAGTGACCCCCCAATCTTACCTGGCCAGACAGTGACCCATTCCCCAGTGGGTGGGGGCCACGTCCCCACGGGCTCAGTGTTGGTGAAGCCCAGTGTTGGTGCCAAGAGGACTGCCTGCTGGGGAGAGGTCACCCCATTCCCTGATGACCGCTCTCTTCTCTCAGATGCCTACGACATGGCCAAGCTCCTGTGTGACAAGTATTACATGGCGTCACCTGACCTGGAGATCCAGGAGATCAATGGTGAGGGAGTGAGGCTGTGTGTCTGCCTGTCTGTCTGTCTAAGGGCTGGGCACATGGGAGAGGAAAGTGAGGTGGGACTCAGAAAATGAACTGTTACCTGGATGAGGAAGAAGCAGAGCTATTATTGTATTATTATTATTAATTTATCTGGTAAATATTTATTAAGCAGTAAACACAACAGGCAAGGTCCCCGTTCCCACGGAGCTTACGTTCTCGGTACTGGGGACGTTGGGGAATGGGACCTCTAACCAACGAACAAATAACAAACAAGATAACTTCAGGTCACGTTAAGTGACGGGAAGGAAACACAATGGAGTAACGTGACAGTGATGGATAGGAGCAGTGTATTAGGTGGGATATGAGTTTGGCTGTCTTCCCCAAATCCAAAAACTGGTTTAATTTGAGAGAGAGATTTCCCTCTCCCCAGCCCCTGGGGTAGAATGGTTAAAGCTGGCTACCCACCCTCATGTCTCAGTTCCAGCCTGGAGAAGGGGAAAGAGGATGTAGAAGGCAGGGCCCAAGAGCTGAACATAGCACTTTCCTAAGTCTCCCAGCTGCAAGGGAGGCTGGGAATTTAGTCTCTATCTGGGTAGTCACATGCTAGTCAAAACTTCAGGGGAGGGAGGCATCTATTACTAAAAGAAGAAAGGGAATAACGGATACAAGAGGATGGCTACAAGGGTCCTGCTTTGGATGGAGTAGTCAAGGACCAGAAGGACCAGTGTGGTGGGGTTAGGAGATTAAAGGGGTGATGGGTGGGAGAGAGGCTAGGCATGCAGGGCCAGTGGACCACAGACAGGAGCTGGGATTTTGAGAGCCGCAGAAAGCCACTGGAGGTTTGAAGCGTGGTGGTGACAGGATCTGAGTAACATTCTAAAGATATTTAGAGGGGACTTCCCTGGCGGCGCAATGGTTAAGACTCCGTGCTCCCAGTGCAGGGGGCCCAGGTTCGATCCCCAGTCAGGGAACTAGATCCCACGTGCATGCCGCAACTAAGGAGCCGGTGAGCCGCAACTAAGGAGCCCACCTGCCAAAACTAAGACCCAGTGCAACCAAATAAATATTAAAGAAAAAAAAAGATATTTAGAGGTTGGAGGAGGCAGGAGAGGACACAGGAAGACCAGTTAAGAGGTCATTGCAGATTCAGGCAAGGGGAAGGGAAGGCAGCAGAGAGGAAAAGAAGGGGGTGAACTGGATAAATACCTTGGAGGTGGAGGGGTGAGGAGGATCAGGGCCCCTCCCCTCCCCTCCACCCACCTGCTCCTCAGCCACCCTGGCCTGTGGGCCAGAAACCTGAGGTGTTCATGCCTCTGTGCCTGGAAGTCGCACTGCCCACGTCCTAGTCTTTCCTTAAGACCCGGTTCAAGTCCACCTCCTCTGAAAAGCCTTCCCGGACCTCCCAGGAAGAGCTAGGCACCGCCTGCCCCAAGTGTACCTCTAAATTGCACTGTTTGAATTAGTTGGCAGAAACCAAAGGGCAGAGACAGGCCGCTTCACTTCAGGATCCCTGGGGTCAAGCCCAGGGCCTAGCACACAGCTCTGGGTACAACACCTAATGTGAAAGTCAGTTGTGTGTTTCACCGTCTAGACTTGAATTTCTGAGAGGGTAGGATTGAATTTTATTCAACTCTGTGTCTCCACTGCCCAGCACAGGGCCTGAGTTTCCTTCATTCATTGACCCACTGCACATTTACTGAGCTTCTGCTACATACAAAGCTCTGTGCCAGGCACCAGGAAGAGACACTCAGTCTATAAAACCAAGAAAACTCGCCAGGATAGAGTGATTCTTGGGAAGTAGGATGCTTGTGTCAAAATCACCTGGGCAGCCCCCTCCCCTCTCCTCTGGGTGAAAAGGCTCTACAGGGGATTGTGGTGTCAAGGTGAATCCTATTAGGCTACATTTAGGATAGACAGATATTATTTGGGTGGATGAATGATGGATAGATGGGTAGATAAACAGTGGATGAATGGAAGGATGAGATCTGTACTTTGAATGAATGGATAGATGGGAAAGAGATGTTTGAACAGATGCATAGATTGAGGGACAGTTGGATGGTTGGATGGACATTGAATGGGTAGACAGAGGAACGAATAGATATTGAATGGATATGACTGATGAATGGATGGATGATGGACGGCTGGCTGGATGGACAGACAGACACTGTATAATGGATGGGTATTATACAGAGAGATAGATGGATGAATGGACACTGAATGAATGGCTAGATGGATGAACGAATGAGCAGATGGATGGACGATGGATGGACAGTGGTCGGTGGTTGAGTGCTGGGTGCTACATGCTGGTGAATGAATGCTGAATGGCGACCTCTTGACAATTTCCTGATCTGTGGTTTGGACTTCCCTGGCAGCATCCAACTCCAAACAGCCGATTCACATGGTCTATGTCCCCTCCCACCTCTACCACATGCTTTTTGAACTCTTCAAGGTGAGGAGGCTGGGGGATGGTCCTTTGTGGGGGGTGGGAGTGGTGAGGTCTAGGTCGCTCTCCCTGTGTCTTACCCCTTTTCCGCCACAGAATGCCATGCGAGCGACTGTGGAAAGCCATGAATCCAGCCTCACTCTCCCACCTCTCAAGGTCATGGTGGCCTTGGGCGAGGAAGATCTTTCCATCAAAGTAGGTGACCCTTGACTTTGGGGGCCAGAGAGCAGTGGTATGGAGACTTCCCTCCTGCCAGGAGGTGGGCTGAGGGAGGCCCCTGGGGGTGAGGAAGATCTGAGAAGGTCGGGTGGGGTGTGGAGAAAACTGAGGTCTGGAGACCCTGACGTGTCCCGCGTCCCCCAGATGAGTGACCGAGGTGGTGGTGTTCCCTTGAGGAAGATTGAGCGACTCTTCAGCTATATGTACTCCACGGCCCCCACGCCTCAGCCTGGCACCGGGGGAACCCCACTGGTGAGCTGGCTTCTCTCTGGCGCCCCCCACTGGCCTCCTGAAGAATGCCTGTTGGCCTCCTGGTTTCTTATCAAATTGCCACTCTTGCCGATCTCTCGCTTCCCTGCCTCCCATGGTCCCTCCGTCCTTGAGTGGCCGTGTGTGAGTCTGAGTCTGGGCCTCCCTGCTCTTCCTGTCTCTCCCAGCCTGTACCTACCTACCTATCTGTGGGTGTCTGTCTGTCACTGTCCCTCAACTCTCCCTTCCCCTCTCTCTCTCCACAAGTAACTACCTCTCTCCTGGAGTTGTTCAGCTTACCAACACCTCCCTGTCCATTCCCAGCAGAGTAGGCAGAGCTGGCTGTGGGAAATTGAGACAGGTGCCCCGTGACCTGCCCAGACCCCTGGCTGCCAGTCCCGAGCCCCTCTCCCTGCCCTGCTTACTGCTCCCCACCCGCCCCATGCTCCGCAGCCTTCCTCCCTCTGCCAGACCGATTTCCTTTATCCCACGGTCCCCATCTTGCCTCAGAGCTGTCCCTTTCTCATGTCCCCTCCCCACCCCAGTTCTGGGAGTCCCCGTGCACGACCCCAGCTTGGCCCTCCTCACTCAGCACATCGGGTCCCTGCAGTTCCAGGAAGCCCAGGGCCAGTGTCTCATCACGCTCCCTTCTCACCCCCTTGCAGGCTGGCTTCGGGTATGGGCTCCCGATTTCCCGCCTGTATGCCAAGTACTTCCAGGGGGACCTGCAGCTCTTCTCCATGGAGGGCTTTGGGACTGACGCTGTCATCTATCTCAAGGTGAGTGCCCCTGCCTGCAGAGTCTGGCTGGGGGAGTTTGCTGATTGGTCGGGCCTGTTATTAGGTTTCTTTTCCATCCCTCCAATCTTTTCCTGATTCCAGACTGAGAATCAGAGCAAAGCTATAGTTCCCAGCCACCAAGCACTCCTAAGTTGGCAGGCAATTTCAGCGAGTCTGTGGTTTGCATGAGTAAGACCCTGTTCTGGGAACCCTTGACTTGCTAGACTCAGAAGGAAACGGGGTGGGGGGGCTTCCCTGGTGGCTCAGTGGTTGAGAGTCCGCCTGCCGATGCAGGGGGACACGGGTTCGTGCCCCGGTCCGGGAAGATCCCACACGCCGCGGGGCGGCTGGGCCCGTGAGCCGTGGCCGCTGAGCCTGCGCGTCCGGAGCCCGTGCTCCACAACGGGAGAGGCCACAACAGTGAGAGGCCTGCGTACCG